TTCATTAGCTGCTACTCATGTTTTGCCAAAATGTTGTTTGGATTTTAGGTTTCAGTTTTCGTTGGATCGTTAGTCCTTGGTTTATTTATTTTACAAATCCACATCATTTAGACATTGAAAATGTAAATGTGAAAAATTACCAAATGACATAAGCACCACCAGTACAAATGACTACTGTCTTCACCTCACTGTATTATTGCAGTCTTTTGAATTATCTGTAGTTATATCAACTTGTTGATGAAGTTCAGAAAACAAGGCTTACTCTCTGTTCTAAAATCCACAGAAAAACACATATTGTTGAACACTGTTAGATTTTAGTCACATAGATGATTATTCTAAAACTTGTTGTAGTGAGATGTGATTAAAGGTAAACCATGAGGCTATGGAGCTTTAACTCCAAATATTTTTCAGTGGTGAGGTATGGCAAATGATAGGAGAACTGAGTACAAGATTATCTAAGATAGATACAGTCACAGTTTTAACACAAGATATAGTGGACATTTTAACAGATCATTTTAAAGATATTAGATTAGCCAATAAAAGGTAACTTTAAACTTAGATTTAAGAGTAAACAAGTACTGAGATGCCAAATGTATATCTTTTTCCTTTCTAGTTAGTTTCAATTTATTTCTAATATTTGCCCAATTAACTCCCTTTAGTCTTCAAATGATCTCACTCTAGTCTTCAAATGATCTCCCTCTAGTCTTCAAATTATCTCTCTTTAGTCTTCAAATTATCTCACTTTGGTCTTCAAATGTTCTCCCTATAGTCTTTAAATTATATCCCTTTAGTCATCAAATTATCTCCCTTTAGTCATCAAATTATCACCCTTTAGTCTTCATGTTATCTCCGTCTAGTCTTCAAATGATCTCTCTTTAGTCTTCAAATGTTCTCCCTGTAGTCTTCAAATTATCACTCTTTAGTCTTCAAATTATTTTCCTGTAGTCTTCAATCTATCACTCTTTAGTCTTCAAATTATTTTCCTGTAGTCTTCAAAAACTTCCCTTTTGCCTTCAATTAACTCCCTTTAGTCTTCAAATTATCTCCTGTAAGTCATCAAATTATCGCCCTTTAGTCTTCATGTTATCTCCATCTAGTCTTCAAATGATCTCTCTTTAGTCTTCAAATGTTCTCCCTGTAGTCTTCAAATTATCACTCTTTAGTCTTCAAATTATCTCCCTTTAGTCATCAAATTATCACCCTTTAGTCTTCAAATTATCTCCCTTTTGTCTTCAAATTATCTTCCCTTTCGTCTTCAAATTATCTTCCTTTAGTCTTCAAATTATCTCCCTTTAG